TCACATCTTCAAGATTCAGCAGGAAGCAAGCAAGAGCAAGTTGGAAGTGGGGCAAGGCTATCGGCTCTCAAAGCCTGTCTCTAGTGATGTGCCAACTATGCCATACCTCCTAAAGATCGGGCACATCCATCATCCTGCAGGTGAATGAAGGACTAGAGGAGACTCCTGAAAATAATCAACCAGAGTCTCTGATCACTGAAAAGGGTTCTAGGCAAAATGCCTTCTCCTAAATTAAAGATTCATGACCTCCCCAAACAGTGCCACCAAATGTTCAAATACTTGAACTTATTGGGGATACTTCTCATTCAAACCACCTCAACTCCCATCCTAAGGGAGAGACAGAGGAAATGGTGCTTCCTGAGAGCAGACTGCACTATTAACTGCAAAACAAGAATTCTACAACCAGCATGGTATGGTGGCACACAACTTTAATCCCAGCACTCAGGAGGCAGAGGCAGGCAGATCTCTGTGAGTTTGAGGCCAGCCCAGTCTACATAGTAAGTTCTAGTCAGGGCTACATAGTGAATCCCTGCACCCTGCTGAAAAAAAAAGAAAGAAAGAAAACTAATCCCTATTAATCCGCAAATCAGTGTTTAGAAGTGTGATTTTGGGTCAGACAATTCTGGGATGGAAAAGTTGCTCACACTCTAAGCCTCTTTCCTGGCTTATATAAAGGAAAAAGTGTCAATAGTTCCTACTTCATCCTTGTTATATACATTAAGTGAGGCGATTTACATTACGTACCAAATTCAGTGCCTGGCCTTTAATATAAGCCATGAGTAAATAGTAGCTAATGATAATATTAAGTGGTTGTATTCGTTCCTTTTCTGTTGCTGTGATAAGACACCATGATCAAGGCAACTTATAGAGGAAGAGTTTGTTTGAGTTTATGGTTCCAGGGGTAAGGGTCCGTAATGGTGGAAGAGATGGCAAAAGGAGGTGGCTGGAGCAGAGCTGAGTGATTATATCTTCCAGCAGACCCAGGAAGCCAAGAGACTGGAAAGCTGGCAAGACTTAAGAACTCTCAAAGCCCACCCCCAGTGACCTGCTTCCTCCAGCATGGCCACACCTAAAAGTTCTGTGACCCTCCCAAACAGCACCACAAACTGGGGACAAAATGTCCAAATACTTAGAGCCCCTGGGGACATTCTCATTCAACCGTCACAGTGGTCTTCACTTTATCTATCTTTTAGCTTATTTAGGTAAATCATTTTGGTCAAATTCTTCAAAACTTGTTTTAAAAATTGCTATACTAAAACAATTATTTAAGACTATAAAGAACTACTTTAGAGAAACTTGGAGCATTTTATTCTCAAAATTCATTTCTAAATTAGAAAAAAAATCTAAGGAAGATATTTGTAATTTTAGAAAGGTATTGGCAAATATATGGAGATGGCACTAAGAGGTTACTGATATATGGAATGGCTGAACTGGGTAGGTTGAGGAAATCTCCATCAGACAACAGAAGTGAAAAATCAATCCAGCAAACTGGTTTTATGAGGATTAAACCATACCAGACCAATCTAATTTCCTTCTGTGACAGTGACGGACAGCAATGGATATCAGATCCCATAACTTCAGCTAAGTCTTCAATTCCAGCCTACATAATAGTAGGATCTAAAATTTTAATTGAATTCTGATGACTGTTGAAGATGATCTCCAAGAACAAGGAGCAGAGCCTCAGTGTCAGTTTTGAGTGAGGAGGAGCACTAAGAAACTCAGTTGTGGAACTGGCATAAAAATATGCCTCCCATCCACCCACAGTAAATTGCAGAGCTCTTCTGCAAATATTGATGGAAGAGCTGTCATATGACACACCCTCAATCTGAATAGGGAATGAGGAATTGAAGAGAGATTCCAAAGCAGCTCTGCCTAAATGGTGCTTCTCAGTAGATGTGGTTGTGAGTTGGGATGTGGGATCCTAAGGATTCTTTAGGCTGGGGCAGATGTTTCCATGGAGTGGGATAAAGTTGGGGGAGAAACTTCTTAAAAATAAAAGCTATGGGATCAGAAAGACTCTCGAGAGAACCTAGGTAAGCTGATTCAAGTCGGGGGGCGGGGCGGGCATGTCCAATAGCAAACACTGCAAGGAAGAGAGGAGAGGAGGCTAAGAAGAGCGGAGGCAAGTGAAGAGCAGCTTTAGATGGAGTGCCTGCTCACTGAAAAGCCCTTATGAATCGCTTCTCTGCCTTCTGGCTAAGATCAAGTGCAGAAAACCTTCATGAAACCCCAACCTTGTGTCACATGTGCCCTAAGCACAGAAGACACAGAGAATTGGGCCCACTCCCTACTCTCAAAGGCTCTGAGGTTAAGGTGACCATTTGACACTAAGGGAGAGTGATTAGGGGCCCAGAAAGAAGGGGTTCTTGAGAGTTGAGGGAACTGGGGTGAGAGGTTGAGGGAGTATTCGGACAGGGACAATTCATCTGAGAGTCCATTTCCCTTGGATAATGACTTCCAGTGCCCTCTCCAGTTCATTTTGGTTGATTTTTACAAAGCCACACTCTCTTGAATCCAGCTCTTCCATTTGATCACCTTCATCAGAAAAAGGACTGCTAAAAACAGAAAAGACTGACATTCTGGATTTCTAGCCATTACATGGCCCCCAGTAGCCTGGGGGTAAGTTCCCTAGTAAAGCACCAGCAGGAGGCAGATGAGGCAGAGGGAACTCTGAGGAAGAAAAGAATAGGGCATCCTGGCTGGTGGCCCAGGGTGGCAGAAACCCAGCAGATTTGTAATTTTTTTCAGATGACCTACTCTAACTGGAGATAATGAGTTTCCAGGCTACAAAGCCACAGGAAACAAGCTACTCTTCAAAGTCTCCACAGAACACCAATGCACTCCATGCAAAACTTCGATGTAGAAATATCCCACTCCTACCCCTTAAGACTGATGGAAATTTCTAGGGAATTACAATGATACTGTTCATCTAAGATACTGTCTCTGGACTAGAGTTGAGCCCCTCCTCTGAACAATGCTGGTCTTTAGGACCACCTACCTTGTAAGGCTGTCCCATGTTTGGAAAGGTTCCATGGATAAGTGTGCCTGTCCCAAGCCTCACCTGTTGCAGAGGCCAAATTTAATGATACATAGACTGTGAGTAAGGATGACAGAATATTGAATAAATGTTGGAAGACTTGAGGAGCATATATGTACATATTTATCCAATCCGTAGCAACTTTTACACACACACACACACACACACACACACACACACACACACACTGTCACCAAGGCAACCATTTTTTGAAGCTGCACTTTGTTCTTTTTCATGCTGAATTTTTTCAACCTTATTTCCTTGCTGTACAGCCCTGGCCTTGGATTCTCTGTAGAGAAGTGTTCTTATCCTCTTTCTAACACCGAATTCAGCCAACACATCTGGTAACTTGCTGGATACATCAGCAACACAAAATAACCATTATGATCACTGAGTCAGAACATGTAAAGATAAATTCAGTATTATGGCAGCTTTCCCAGGCAGGCCAGCAGAGGTATATGCCTGTAGTCACAGCTACTGGGGAGGCTGAGGAAGGAACAGTCCTGACACTCAAGGCCAGTCTCTGAAATATAGCCAGATCTTGTGTCCTTAAAAAAATAAAAGGAGTGAGTGTTGGCTCTGAAAGATGGAGGTATCTGCCTGGCTTAGTGGTGCACACCTTTAATCCCAGCACTTGGAAGGCAGAGGCAGGTTGATCTCCGTGAAACTGAGGCCAGCCTGGTCTACATATCAAGTTCCAGGCCAAGATGGGGCTACAGGGAAACCCTGTCTCAAGAAAAAAACAAAAAACAAAAAAAAAAAACCAGCAACAAAAGATGGGGATATCTATTCCCAAGGTTAAAGTGCAGCTCTTTTCTTTTGTCTCTTTTGAGACAGGGTCTCCCTGTAGCCCCAGCTGGCCTGGAGCTCGATATATAGGCCAGACTATGAACTCTGCTGAGTTATTATTCTTTTAAAAGGAGTTCACATTTCTTTCCTCCTTCTTAACCTTCAAATTAAACTTCATTTTTATTTTGTTATTCAAAAATGCCAATACAAAGGGAATCAGGCAACAGTTAAAACTTTAAAAATCCAAATATTGATCTGGCTTTCAACATCTATATAATAAGCAGTGAGGTCTCCTTTTTTATGTCATCAACACGTTTATGGTTAAAGGTCAGTTTATGGCAGGAGTTTTTATCTTTGCAATATTATTTTGTCTGCTTTAAAAACAAATCCTAACTTGTGACTGGACCAGAAAGTTTTCTGCATGTCTTTCTATCAGATTTCTGCTGTCTGAGGAATCACCTAGGTAAGAGTATTATACAGTCAGAATCTTTGATGCCTCCCTTCATGTAAGCATCCAAGCATTTTGGGATAAGGAGGGAAGTCCTTTTCTATGAAATAACTGGTTAGAAAGTAAGCACCAACGCAGAACCAGTGATGAGCAGGCTTGAATTTTGCCCTGAACTAGGGTTCTGAGACCCAACAGAGGGACTCATTCCCAACAGGAAGGATGGAGGAAGAGACAAGAAGACTCCAGGATCCTTGTTTAGTACATCAGGGCTGTGCCAGCCAGGTGGTCCAGTGGATGGAGAGTCACCCAACTGAGTGTACATGTGGTCAGAGGGAGGCTGGACCAAAGCATGGTGAAAGTGCACCGGGTCGGCTGGGGACCGTCAGACTGGCTGAGAGATAGACTTGTGTATGGGATGAGCTGTCCTCCCACCCACCCATCCCCAGGGACCAATGCAGTGCACTGGCTGACACAGAGGTGTTGGTTGCACAGATGCAGGGGATTAGCCAGTCCTCTGGAAGCGGCTCTCCTTGACCCGGTTCCCTGGGCTTGAGTCTACCAGCTGGTCAGTAGGCAGGTCCTGCTCTGTTCTGTCTCTGTCACTCCAACCCCAATCAAATCGTGGTGTTCCGGGTTTCCCCAGGCTCCCCTGCAGTTCTGGCTCCTCCAGGCAGCCGGGCCTCGCCCGCCCTGGGAAGCCACCCGCAGGGTGCTGGACTCACTCACCCGTGTGCAGGCCGCCCGCCTCGGGGCCGCTGTCAGTGGCGGCGGCGCTGGGCAGCGCATCTGAGTCCGTGTAGGTGAGCCAGGTGGACTCGGTCTCCCGGGTCCAGCTTTCGTAATAGCGGGGCTCGATGGCATCCGCCCGGCTCCCGCCGCAACCCATCCTCCCGTGCTGCGTGTGAACCCGGCGGCCGGTAGGCTTTTGGTAGCAGCTGCGGCTCAGCCTGGGCGATGCAGCTCCGGTCCGCGAGGAGGAGGCGGCAGCCGCAGCGACATGGGTCCCCTAGGCGCCAGCGCTGCCACCAGCGGAACTCTCGGGACGCCCTCCGCCCCTCCTCTCTGCCTCTAAGGCCCTCCTCCTCTCCACTCAACTTCCCCAGCTCCCCTCAACCTCTCCTCTCCCACCACCCAGCCGCAAGTCCCCTGATCATTGTGCCCTCCTTCCGTGCTCTGAAGGAGGCCGGGTGAAGGAGTAGCAGCAGACAGGTGGTGGGGAGAGAAAAAGGAGCTCCCAGAGGGCTCAACATCCAGTAGTCGAGATTACAGTTCCTAGGCCCCCATCCATCTGCCCACCCGCCCACTCACTCACCCACCCATCCATCCACCCATCCATCCACCCACCCATCCATCCACCCATCCACCCATTTATCCACTCACCCATCCATCCATTCACCCACCCATCCACCCACCCATCCATCCATCCATCCATCCTCCTGTCCACCCATCCACCCATCCACCTACCCACCCATCCACCTACCCACCCATCCACCCACGCATCCATCTACTCACCCATTCTTCCTTGTATTCATTCATCTGTCATTCTGGGAAAGAACTGAAAGACAAAGAAAATGACCCAATCTTCCTGATCACTTGTTCTAAAAGAAGCAGAGGTGGGGACAACCCTAGAAAATTGGGGAGACGGTGTTGCCACGAAGAATTAAGGAGCAGTCAGAGCTAATACCTGCCTTTGCTGGTTTGCAGAGTAGAGGCAGAAACTATCATTTAGATCCTGGGCCTCTAGACACATGTTACTAATAACCCTTCCAGACTTGCAACTTCATGATCTTCCAAATTTTGTTCTCAAGAAAGCAAAATGTCACCAGGACCATGCAGCATCTAGGACACTTCCTCAGTGATCTGGGAGGCATGGCAGGCTTCCCTTCAAGCTCAACGGGTGGCTTTGACATTCCCATATGCACTGTTCATTTGCTGGCCTTTCTTTCTCCCCTACATACTCAGGTCTGTGTGAGTTCCAACCTAGAGTTAGACTTAGGTAGGCTCAAAGAACCCAGAACAGGTGGTACAGAAAAGAAACTACCCCCTAAGGAGAGATCTAGAAGGAAAACCTGGAAGAATGAATCCTCAATGACAGGGTTCTGCTAGAATAAAATATGGTATGGAATTTCAAGTATGAGATTCATTTATTCAACATACATTTACAAAATTCCTAGTATGACAAAACATTGTTTAAGCATGATATTTTGTGTCTATTGCCCAATATAGGTATATTGTAGCATGTACTGCTTAGCATAACAGATAAAATATATAGGATATAGGTATAATATTCACTCTGTGCAATACATAGGATATGCACTAGAGTAAATTGTCTATGACAGCATGTATAATCCAGTAGCCTTGCCTGGCACATAGTAGGACCTCAGTGAATGCTCACTGAATGAAATGAAGTAGCTTTTTGTAATAATTCGGCCTACTTTTGTCATTACATCTCAGGGTAAAGAGGGTCCAGTTTGGGAACAGATAAGGGAGATCCCTGTGTCAGGTACTAGCCAGAATCCATAAGGCAGAAAGTAGCATAGACTTTGAGAATAAAGATCAGGATCCCCTCCTTATACTGAGCCAGAGCCTGCTCCCACCCGGGCTGGCCCTTCCTACAGGCTTAATTTCTGCTTTTAAGCCTGCCCTGGCAAGCCTCTGCAACCTTGCTTCAGCCTGTGAAGCAGAGGGTGTGCAGTTATCCAGGATGAATGGCTTCCCTAATCTGTTGCAAACCAAAGGCTGTTCCACCTTTTCAAATTTACTCCCCTGAATATTTTCATATAAAAAGAATCGGGTCTGAGGCTAGAGAGATGGCTCAGTGATTAAGAGCACTGACTGCTCTTGCAGAGGACCCAAGTTCGGTTCCTAGCATCCACATAGTGGCTAACAACTGTCCATAATTCCAGTTCCAGTGGCTCTGATGCCTGCTTGTCTCCTAAAGACACTGCACACACCTGGTACACTTACATGCAGGCGAAACACTCATACATATAAAATCAAAAAGTTAGAAATAAAAATAAATCAAGTCTACATGATATTTCACCATATTTTTTCCTCCCCCTTCTTGAGAGACCCATGCACCCATGCCCTCTGAAGTCCCAGGGCTGACAAACTTACAGAATACCTTCTATTTTGGGTTTTGCATAGTTTATCACATCCAGGAAAGGGTGGACTTACAAAGGCATGAGTTCTCATAGGCTTGTATTTGAAACACCCATCACCAGCTGGTCCTGCCCCAGCCCCGTGGTCTCCATCAACCTACCCCTGTGGGCACCATCTCACCCCATAGTCTGAGTACCTCATCTCGCTCCACAGAGCCCTGCAAGGTGCTGGTCTGCATGTGCCATCTTGCCCCACTCACCACCCCCCATTTGCTGCTCCATTCCCTGTGCTCAATATGGCAACAGCTCCTCCCCTTCATGCAACTGATTGGGTGGGGGAGGTGATGGGCTTCTGCCTGCTTGACTCCTTCTACAGAGTGTAAGAAGGAGGCAGGACAATAGCTTGTGTCATAGTAGTCGACAGAGGAACTGCAGCTTACACTCCACCCCTTTCCTCCAGCTCTTACAAATTTTCCACTCCCCCTCTTCCACAAGGGCCCCTGAGCCTTGGATGGGGTGATAAGTGTGGGACTATCATGGTGAGATATTAACCTCTTGGGCCTCTCCATCATTCGTCTTCAAGACGAGGCCACTGATCCATCTTGGCGGTGTCTCCCCTACTATAAAGACAAATGGAAGGAAGCAAACAAACATCTAAACAAACATGGGTGCATGGATATCCCAGCTGGTATACCATATTCATACTTGCAGTGACTTTCCCGCTGGGGCCTATACCCTTTCCTGATACAGGGGGTTGACCTGCTCTACAGCACTACATGTGTGTTTCACCCCTAGGAGTGGATCTTATCCAACTAGAAATTTGTCAGTTGTACTTATGTTAGTTGAGCTATTACTGCAACATCAGGCATTGCCTGGCATGTCCACAGTGTACAGCATGCAGGGTCCATTGTTGAGCAGAATCATAGGGGATCCTTTTGCCCCAACCATCTGCATAGCACCTTCTGGCACTATGAAAGCCATCCATCCAGTGGCATGGAGTGTTCAGCTTAACCTTGGCTCTGTCTCTCCTTCTCCCATGCTCACATCATGCAGTGTCTCAACAACATGGCCTTACCAACATTTTCTAGTGTACAACAGACATTAGAGCCTTGTTAATTTGAGGACCTCAAAGATCTCTCTGGCCAACAGTTCATAAGGGGGCAACGCATCCCTGGTACTGTAATTTTTTCTTAACAGTTGTACAGTTTTGTGAGTCTCTTTAAAAAATTTTTTTAAACAGGATTAGGTGTTGTAAGCTTTTCCCAACCATTCTGGTGGGTATTACTTGTGTCTTACCCAATCATAAAGCTCCCAAGAATCTTACAGCTATAGCTGGCCTTTGTTCTTCAGGTGTACTTGAAATCTTTCAAATGGGTCTCACATCTGTAAAACACTCAAAGCTTAACATCATATATTAAATCAGTCATAGACAGGTCTAGCACAGCGTGGGACGGCTTTATGCATTTGTATTAATTGCTTTCTCCATAGATCTCTGTTGGGTTCCAGAGCATAGGTAAGAGGCATTAACTTGGTTAGTTCTTTACTGTCTTTAGTTATCCCTTTGGAGTCATTCCGCATTCTGGGAATTTTACATGGAGTCTCTTTGTGTCCTTTTATCCTTGATACATTTACAGGTGCTGGCTCCAGTTGCCTAACCCTGCACTGGGCTAAGGAGGCAGAGGGTCTCTCTTGTCCCTGCTGCACCTGTTGGTTCCCTGAGTCAGGCAGGTACTGGGTCTGCCTCCTGGCTGTAGCCATATCTGTCATCTCTCCATTGACCATACCTGGCTGCTGGGGGAGGCCCTGGTGGGGAAAAACTGCCTCCACCCCTGGCATAACCTTTCTCAGGAGAGAACTGTACCTTATTTAATCTTTGGGGATCCTTAACCACCCCGGGACAGTTTTTTTAATCCTCTGAATCCTTTTTGTGAATGGTTCTTCAGGTTTTAAAGCCTTCCAGAAACTCCTTAGTACCAAATTTGATTTTTCTATCAATTTTTTTTCTTTGGAAACTTGGGCTCGATGTAAATCTTGCCACATTTGTCCTTGAGTAACCCAAACAGACCATTTCTTCTGTCTGGTCTTTTTTACATCTCTTGTAGGTTGCTGTATTAGTCTACAGACATGTTTTACATGCTAGTTTGAGTCACTTAGATCTGCCAAAGCCTCCCTCACTTTACAAAGATCCTGTCCCATTAAAGAGCTTAGCAAAACCATTAAAGCTCTATACCATTCTTCAGGTCCCAGTTGAATTAAGCTTTCCTTTATATCTCTGTTGAACATAGCCCTATCTGTCCCAGCAAACTGGGTGTAATATATTGCTTTTCTCATACCTAGTTCTCTCAGTAACGCCTGTCCCTCTTTTATAGTCCTCTAGCCCCTGCTAATCCTGGGCGTCTCCATTTGTGATGACCATGTATCTTTAATACCTTGCACAAGTCATTCCATTAGGGACTGCTCCCTCCTGTATTGGCCTAGGTTAAACAGCCTATGTCTCAAGGATGGATGGGTGGTTATATAATTCAGCTGAGATGCTTCTGAAGGACTTAGACTGACATTATTTTCTCCCATGCCCCATGCCTTCATGAGCCACATGGTAAGGGGTTCTTTAATTGTTTGTTTGAAAGTCTTTCCTAGTCCCAACAGCTCCAGTGTGGATATTTCCTCCTAGCTACAGTATTGTTAACTTTTTACTCTTTTTGTATTAAAAGTTGAATCTGATGGGCAACTTTAGCTACTTTTATTTCTAAGTTGTTTCTTTTCTCATTACTATCTGTCTTTTTCTCTGGGTCCTTTGACTCTTGGTCCCCTAACCTTATGCAAGTTAAAATTTCCCATTTTTCCTCTCTTTCAATCTCTGAGGCTGAGACTGAATTTGCCAGTAACTCCTTAATCTTTTTAGCCTCCCCTGAAGCTGTTGCCTTTGCTGTGCACAAATCTTTTATCATGCAAAGAAGTTGCCACGACCCTTTTCTGGGTTCCCTGTCT